AAGAGTTTGAATCATCAGAAAAGAAATAATCCATCTGTCTTGGACGATTCTTGGAGATACATTGGATTAGGAACGTTACAACAGAGACCGACATATAGGAAGGATATTAGTTCCTAATCTTTGATCACTCCAGCCAGTATTGCCTTTCCAGATATCTATAGCACCTGTCTATTCAGCATGACATTTTTTAATGTGTTGCCTATCCACGGTTCTTCAAATTGTTTCCTGTGTAAAAATCCCAGCTCAGCTCTCTCATAGTTCCTTGAGGACAGTCTCATTATTTCTGTGTAATAATCTTCTGTTGGAGAAGGAAATGGCAACCCACTCCAATATTCTAACCTGGAGAATTCCATGGACAGAGGAGCCTGGCAGGCTGCAGTCCATGGGATCACAAAGAGTCGACACGACTGAGCAACTAACACTATTACTACTACAGAAATATACTTGCAGAAATGAGTTGTTTTTTTTTTTTCTAATTATTAAGTGGGTTTCTTCTTAGCTCCTGAGGATAATATATGACAACAGGACACTGTTTAATGACTGTTACATTATTCTACTGGGTTCCATTTGAAGAGGAGAGGAACATGTGCTTATTTTTATCAGCACTATTGGCACAGTCATGACCAGGGTCAGTAACCCAGCTTTTGGAACTGCAGCTTAACTTTTTTTGAAATTGCTGCAGAACTTGGCACTTCTTGTTTTGCTTCACAAGGCCATATCCTACCAAGTTTCTGATTCCATTTGGAAAGAAAGGTGAAGCATGCCCAGTGCGTGTCCTCATGGGAGGGCTTCTCCTCTAAGAAGAAAACAGGCCTTGGCACAGATTAGCCACCCTATAAGTGTTTGTTACCGAAGTGAATCAGCCTGTGCTAGACTTCAGGGCGCAGCTGTCTCCACGGCGTGCCTCGCACAGCCACTTCCTGCGGGCTTGCCCTCCTTGCTTCCTCTTGCTGGGCGTGCACCCTTTCCCCCTCCTGGCTCAGCCAGTCTGATGCCCTGGGTGAAGTCTTCCCCGTGTGGCCCAAGCTTTTTTGCCCGCAGACAGTTGGCTCTCTTACTCTGCCTCTGGGCGCCTCTCATTGGTGGTCCTGGAGCAACCTCCCATGAATTTCATGTGCTCCAGTGTACAGCCCTTTGGAACCTTCCAGTCTAACATAATGCACTGAGTGTAGCATGCAATTAATACTTATTTGTTGCAAATTATGAATATTCATTTGACTTAAAAGAAATACTTAAAAAAGAGAGTTGACTTTAAAAGAAATACTTTTAAAAACAGAGTTAAAAATACTTTTAAAAAGCTAGGGAAGGGGAAAAAAAGAAATGAGGGTGGGACCCGAAAGCTTTACTTAACTTAGACTTAGCTATTCAGGATTATTACAGTACATGCATATCATCTGTAAGCAGAATCTTTCTGGAGTGTGTCAAGGAAGTCAAACTCCCGTTCTGCTCAGTTCAAAGGTAAATAGATCCAAGTACCAGCCAAGGTCAGCCAACAAGCTCAAAATCTTGGAATGGGGTAGACAGCTGGTATGTCTTTGAACTGTGGGCTTCTTTTACACCTTTTAGAGGAAGATAGGTAAGATTGATGTTGGAGTTATTTCAGAGGGAGTTGATGTGCTGATTCAGAATTGTAAAGAGCATTACTCCCTTGAGTTTGTTGCTTTAGGAACTCTTAGGGTATTATGAATTCATAGGAGAAAAAAGACTTGAAACACAGAAGTGAGGCTTAGAGAAGAAGGGAGTCTTGACCTGAGGGAAGGTGGAGGTAAAGTGATGAAATTCAGGACTGTTCACTCTGGCTTTTAGGCAAATACATTTTCATACTTCAGAGTTGATATTCTTTAAAACTTCAGGGAAGTTTATAGCTTTAATAGAAAAAAAGAATTTTTTTCAGTAAGATATTCTAAGGCCAAAATGAAGTGATGTATTAATGCATGCATGCATGTGGGCTAAGTCACTTCAGTTCTATCCAACTCTTTGTGACCCTATGGACCATAGCCTGCCAGGCTCCTCTGTCCAAGGCAAGAATACTAGAGAGGGCTACCGTGCCCTCCTCCAGGGGATCTTCCCAACCCAGGGATCGAACCCAGGTCTTCTGCATTGCTGGCAGATTCTTTACCAGCTGAGCCACAAGGGAAGACCAAGAATACTAGAGTGGATAACCTATCCCTTCTCCAGCAGATCTTTCTGGCCCAGGAATCGAACCGGGGTTTCCTCCATTGCAGGTGGATTCTTTACCAACTGAGCTATGAGGGAAGCCCACTTAGGGCATTTCAATTTGAGTTTGCAAGACTAAGGACCAAATCACTTTGCTGTACACCTTAAACTAATACAACATTGTTAATCAATTATACTCCAACATATAAAAGATGTTAAAAAACAATCTAGCCTACAGCTAACATTTATATATATATATGAAATTAACCACTGATGTCCTCTCATAAGATTTTGGACATGCCTGGATTTCATATCTTTAATAGTTTAGTTATGCTTGATGCACTAATAAATTTCGTCTGTAGGCACTTTGCTTTAAACTTACTGTAGACACATTTTAAACTAAGGTAAGTCAGAGCAGTCACCTCATCACTGGTCGTATTTATAGTTTTTTCATAAGCATTGTTTATTTTCTATCAAAATAGGTTTTGGTTGTTGATCAAAAATAAAATACAGGCTTCCTTATTAGATCATTATGGACCTTAAGGAGTAAGTTAAAGCTTCTTCCTCATCTATCAGACAGTGGACGGTGCAGCCTCAGCACCAAGAGCCACCTTGGAGACAATCCGCAGACTGGCACAGTCACTGCGTTAGGAGTCCAAAGGCTGAGGGGGCGAGGCTCTTTTCCTCAGGGCCCTTAGAACAGTGGGGAAACGAGGACACGCGCAGCTCCGTGAAGAGTGAGAAGCACCGTGGTGTGAAGGGGGAGGCCTGTTCTCCCTCGGCTCCTGCAGGAGGTGTCCGTCCATGGCTGCTCCTGTGTCCACACCTCGAGTGGGGTATCTGCCATGTGTGGGCATGCGCGCAGGCGAGAGGGCGAGCTAATGAAGGGCAGGGCCTAGTCCTCTGCACGTGTATATATATCCCCAGTACCTGTTGGAACATCACAGGGTCTCCACGCATGTTTGTTAATAAACCGCAAACTTGGTATATACTGCTAATGAGGTGACACCTCACAATATTGCTCTCTGGCATGTTTTATTAAATGCATTCCCATATTGTATAGCCCTCTTTTACAGAGATATAAAAGGCTGTACAATGTTTACATGCATTAGATCACAGAGAAATATAGCATGGCAGGGACCGCCCCTAACTTCTAAGAGGGTTATGTTCTAGGGTGTGTTTGGGATAGGGAAGTACTGAGAACATTATCTCTCCAGGAAGAACCTCCAGAAAAGGAGGAACTGAAAACTCTGAATCCAGTCTTAGGAAACACAATCTGAGCAGCTGGGCCACGGTGAAGCCGGCTCAGGAAAACCAACGGTGGGACTGGAAGGTAAAGTAGCCTCTATTTAGCAGTCTATTCCTGTTACTGAACCTTTAGGCACAGTCAGCTCCAATATAGCTTCAGAAGTCCTCAGAGGTCCTTTAATCTTTTAGCAACCAATTCAAGTGTCGAGCAAATTACATAGTTTCAAGATAGTTTCAGGTAAAGCTTGCTGGGTGATCAACACGTCCTAGCAAAGTAGAAAAGGTGGGTATAAAAAGTTCATTTTCTCTTCATCGAGATCAGATCTAAGAGCATTTCTCCTTTGGGTGGAGGGCGGCCTGGAGGCGGAGTGGGCGGGCCCGGGGGCTGGGCTGGGGAGCCTGGACCGCACGCCTCTCCGGCCCCCTTCCAGACTCGGAAAGGTCTGTTCTCCGCAGCATTCCTGCGCGCGGGCGTCGCCTGACCTCCCGCATGTTTCTCAGGGCATCCTCCCACTCCAGCTCCTGGGGGCACAGGGCCGCCGGGGACGTCTGCGGAGCCCTGGGAGCGGGCGCACGGTAGGGCTCGCCCCTCCTGCCGTCTTCTTTGGCTTCTAGGGCCACTGCTGCCCTAGCCTCCTGGAGGTTTGATTCTTAGCCTGCCCAGGTGCATGGCTTTTGCACGTGGGTTTAGTTAGATTCAACATAATTCTCAGGCTTCTCAGTGGATTCTTTTTCAGGACCCTGCGATGACTCTCCTTGCGTGGTGCTCTGGGACTTTTCAGAATTCTCCCAAGGTCTGTGTTGAGCATCTCGTGCATGGGAAGGTTGTAGTTACTCATTAAAGAGTCAGGTGCCACACAGATCATCTCACTTGCTGAAAGCAAATTCGAAACGGTGCCCACCAGGCGCAAGTTTCAAAACGTTCAGTTTGGCTACATTAAGAGAGTAATTCCTTTATGAAGGGGAGGGAGAATTAGGGAGCCAGCGATCTTCCTCAAGGCCTTGATACCATCTTCCCAATGATACAAGATGCCGGGTCCCCTGCCGTGCGCACACCATGGTTTCCCAGTTTGCGCTTGCCAGCGCTCATCTGTTCAAAGACAGAGACCCACTGATATTATTCCAGGCCTTACGTTTCTGAAGAAGCCAAACAGCCCCATTCCTCCTCTCATCCCCTTCAACATCATCTTCAACCAACAAAGGAAGTTCAGACTTCCTCAACACGGTGACCTTTAGCCGTGACCAGCCCGGTAAGGCCGAGGCAGCCAGGGAAAAGCAGATGGCACACCACTGCGGGGCCACCGTGCCAGGTTTGGTTGGCTCAACGTGCGGGCCCCACGACGCGTCAATTTCCCCAGTTAAGAATCACATTTCTCAAATTGTAGGAATTAAAAAAAGATTATGTATTGCTCAGTAAGAATTTTCGGCAACTGTCGCTGAGAACCCAGTAAGACGCCAATTACGACATCACTGCAACAGATTTCGGGATTTTTAACTTATCGCTGCCAGAGGGGCGAAAACAAATCCCAAGGAGGCCGGCTACAGCGTTCCCGGACCTAGGAGGCGGCCCCGGTAGGCGCCGCCGCGAGCTCGCGGGCTGCAGCAGGTCGCGGCGGACTGCGTCTCCGAGGTGCGTTCGGGGCGACGAGCGACGGGAGGCGAGGCGGGGTCCGCTCGGGAGTCTCCGGGTCGTGTCCCGGAACCGTCCCGAAGTGAGGGGCTGCCCTTGGGGGCGCCTCGGGGGGCCGACCGCGCGGCCGGGGCGCGGGGCTGGGGTCCGACTGGCAGATGCGCCCGTGCTCCGGAGCCCGGGGTGAAAGAGGAGCTGTCGCCGTTCGTTCTCAAAGTTATCGATCGGCTGAAAGGTTATCCCGGTCTCGTTGACGCGAGCACTAAACGAGGACTCTCCGGGCGCGCAGCGACTCCTCCGTGACTAACCCGAGAAAAGAGAGAAAGGTTGCCCGGCGCGGCTCCCCGGCGCGCCGGGCGGGGTTACTTGCTGAACTTGCTGCGGGGTTTATTCCCCGGGAAGGCGGTGTGCCCGGGGCGCGAGCCCTCGCGGCGCCCGCCCCTCTTTGTAAGGTCCCAAGCGGCCAGCGAGCGCCCTTCCCTGTGGCTCGACGGCTCCCAGGCTCCCCTGGGTCCGCGGCTCGCTCCATCCTCTGCTCCCGGTCCTGCTTGGGGGCCCGCCTATCCTTGAAGCTAGTTTGGCCAGGTCCTGGGAGTATCCCCTTGAGCACCTACAGATTAATTTCAACCAAGCCGCAAACCCAAAGAATCAATCTCGGTTCATCATCTGTGAGCGAGAGCCGATGCTTCTCGGGAAGAGAAAACAAGTTGGCATGGCCCCTCTGGGAGATATTTGTCATCATTAACCTGCTTCAGTTAAATTAATTCAGCCCAAGATGACTCCAGCGTGAGTATTGGAAACATCAAGTGCATTGGCCACGGAATTGTGGTCACCAAAAACCTGATTTTGGCCAAAACGCGATTGTAGACTTTTTGAATTTTGTTTAGATTAGATACGGTTTTTGATAAGGATGGCCTTCTTTTTTAAACAAAGAATTTTGGTGATTCTCATAGGTTTGCTCAGTAAGTTCCAAATAGTCACTTAGATTTTTCTTTTCTTTGCCTCTTTTGTCTGCAGTTTTCATTTCTAAATGTTAACACTAGATGGCTTTCTTATGACAGGCATTTAGTAAACTGCGCTTTTGAGTTGGCTGTCTGCAATCCAGGTTGTAATTTTTCCAGTTTTACAATCAGTAATGGGAGAAAAAAAAAATCTCCAAAACTGTTGCTTTCTTTGAAATATATTACTTCCCTGTAAAACTAATATTTATGTAGGTGTCATAAAGTGGTCTGTTACTTCTGGTGTTTCTAAAGATGTATTTCAGGAGACAACTTGGTTACTGTTTTTAGTCACAAATTTAAAGGATGTCTGTTTTTACTTGAAAAATTTAAAGTTCTATGGTGAGACTTATTAATTCTATTTAGGTAACATTTCTATTAAGGATGTTTTCTGCTTACTTTAGTAGTTGGTTGCTTGATTCAAAACAGTATAAAAGAATGTAATTCATGAAAAAGTGCAATCTTTCTTGAGTTTTTGGTACGCGTAATATTGATTCTTTCTAAAGACTCTGTTGATGCATTTTAGGGAAGAGATGTTGCATTATACATGTGTGGAGTCAAACATTGTGTTGGGGCCATTTTTATTTCCCCAACTGATATTGGGTGTTTCATTTCTAAACACAGCCCTTTTTCCCAAAGTACCATGACTTGTAGTTGGCCATTTAGGTGGCAGCAGGTTCTTAATTTTGTGTTTTCAGGACTTTTTCTCTGAAGTAAGACCATGGCAGCCTGTCCAAATCTTGCCTAGGTAGGCAGACTTATTTAGAAGCTGGAAAAATATCTCAACGTTTCTCATAGCTGTTACTTATTGTGTGTGTGTGTCTTACCCAGCTTATAATATGATGTTAAATTTGTTGGTTCTAAATTAGAGCATATTCACAAATAGCTGAAAAAAAAAAAAAATAGACCTCTCTCTCGCAAACATCTGGGAAGTAGGGAATGAAATGAAATCAGAAACAGCTTTTATCAGTACCCACATGCTACCTATAGATGGGGTGAAATGAACTTGGATAAGAAGCAGTGTAAGCATTTGGTGTAGAAAATAAACCAAGAGATAAATTGCAGGTGTGGAAGTGGAGCTTCTGGCTTTATAGTATGGGCATTTTCCCTAGTTGATTTAAGTGTAAATTTTCCATCAAGTGCCTTTGATGTGTTTAAATCTTAGCCTTTCTCAAAGAGCTATAATTTTCTGGAATGAAAGAAGGAAATTGTCAGCATCATGATTTGACTTTTATGGTACTTATTGTAGTTAAAGCTGTGTAATACAGTTTGTAAGTTTTGTTTTATTTTCTTTTGAGACTGGAATGGTATTTAGAAGGGTTCCCTGATACCTGAGCTTGATAAACACCTGTCCACCTTGAGGGATCTCTTTACTTGAGGTCAAAGGGTTATAGGGTTATTCTTTTTGGAAATCTGTCTATTCTTTAAAGTGAAAAAATAATAGCGAGATATCTTGAAAGGGCAATGATCTGGTAACTGAAACTGGTTTTAGAGTACTGTGTTTGGCCATGAAAACTAGTTTTAAGGGGTTGTGTTTCCTGCATACTTTCCAAAGAACTGTGTGTTTATGTAGATACAGCCCCCTAGTCCCCAGTCATAATTGATAGATGCAAAGGGTTTTTGTGTGGTTTTTTTTTTTTTTGAGATTGAGGAAGGCATTGTGTCTTTGAATTTATGATCTGCTTAAGGTGGTGGTTTAGGATTACAAATCCCTTCAAAGATTTGAAAGACTTGAATGTTGAATTTGAAGAAAATTTCTATTATTGTCAACTTAAAAGCAACTTAAAAGTTTTTTTTTTTTTCTCCTCCTGTTTTGAACTTGAATGAAATATGAAGTACATGCCTAAAGATTATAGGGAACCATGTTCTGGATTTTCTCCTTCTATTAATGAACCTGTTCCCTTGCAGGGTGAAGTGACAGGAACCTCTGGCTTCCTACTTCTAGGGTCTAGCACTGACGAGTTTGGATGAAGTTTTTCCATGGTCCCTTTCAGCACCAAAATTTTAGGTTTCTTTAATGTTTTAAATAAATGTATATATAGAGTAATGAACATGACTGATTGGGATAGCTTATATTTTTTCATGCTTATCTTTTCTTTCTGTGATTTATAATAAGTTGGCATGGTGGTTTAGTGCCTGCCAAGCAGGAGACCTAGGTTCGATCCCCCAGTTGGGATGACCCCTTAGAGAAGGAAAAATGGCAATCCACTCCAGTATTCTTGCCTGGGAAATACTAGGGACAGAGAAGCCTGGTGGGCTGCAGTCCATGGGGTCACAAAGACATACATGACTTAGCAACTAAACAACAAAGCTGGCACATGAACATTCACGAGAGTTATACCTTACTTAGTTTGCACCTGAAAATCAAGGATTCAGAAGTTGCTTTTCTGTTACAGACACATTTAGCCGTGACTTCCTTTTGAAGGAAGGATAACAGTGTGATAGGAATTAAATGCCTTGTAAATTCAGAGATAAATTATTTTGATCCTTTGTGAACTTGATTCATAAACTTTGGTTCCAAAGAGTGGTCCAAGGAAGCCAGATCTTACAGTAGAGGTTCTGTTTCTTGGGAGGGTTCACATTTAGTGTAACCCAATTCCTTTATGTATGTGTGTATGTGCACGTGCATGCGTGCTAAGTCGCCTCGGTCGTGTCTGACTCTTTGTGACACTATGGACTGTAGCCCACCAGGCTCCTCTGTCTATGAGATTCTCCAGGCAAGAGCACTGGAGTGGGTTGCCATTTCCTTCCCCAGTGGATCTTCCCAACCCAGGGATCGAACCAGCCTCTCTTATGTCTCCTGCATTGGCAGGCAGGTTCTTGACTACTAGCAGCAACTGGGAAGTCTCTTTGTGTTTGTGTGTGTGTGTTTGTGTGTGTGTGTGTGTGTGTGTGTGTGTGCGTGTTGTAGTATTAGTTGCTCAGTTGTGTCCCAGCCCAGGGATCGGGCGAATTCTTTACTGTCTGAGCCACCAGGAAAGCCACACACATGTGTGTGTGTGTATATGTATGTGTGTGTGTGTGTGTGTGTGTGTATCTTTTTTTGCTCCCCATACAACATTGTATAGCTAATTTGGGTGATAGCAAGGAAGAAGATATGTGGTAAAGTTGAGTTTCGTTGTCATAGCATCTCTTTACCACAAAAATCCATGAGGTTATCCTTTCATGTCATTCCTATAGTTTTTGTTTCTATCTACTTCTAAAATTAAAAATCAGAGACAAAAATTAAATTTTGCACGTTGTCAGATTTACCACTTTTTATGTTGCTACGTATATTGAAAATTAACAGCAGCAGTTCCTGTCTACTGTCAAGGTATTTCATCAAGGTACACTGATATGCCAAGAAGAGAAGAACAACAAAAGGGAGGACATGTATGTATGTTATCATTACAGACGTAAGGAAAGTTCTTCGTCCAGAGAGTGCGTAGTAGGTTAAATTACTCCCACAGGCGTATATACCACCATACACAGATACTTTTCCTTTGGCAAAGATCAGTGAAAACTTCACTATGGACCAGGGTTTGGAAATCACTGACCAACTCAACTAACCCTTCTTTGATGTTGGGGTCCCTTTATATACCCACACGTGGCCTAGTAAGGAATGGAGAGTTCCACCCTTCTGATGTTTTGACCACTGGAAGGTGGTATTTTACCTGTCGAGTTGAATTCTAATTCTGACTGTGAATAGGAGTTCCATCCCCTTGGTGGCCTCCAGAACTAAGCCTTCTGTAGAGGTGTTCTAGTTACTCACTGGACAACAGACCCGTCCAGGTGAGGCCTGGAGCTTCCCACTCACGACCTGTGCAGAGTAGAATAGGGGTGCCCCTCCCTCAACTTGCAGGTCCTATCAAGTTCACATTCACCTTTTTACTCAAACTCAGAGAGTTTCCTGTTCACTCGAACCTCTGGTTCTTAGTCACATGTTGTCTTGAAGCCACGTCTTCCTGTCCTGTGCTAATGCAGGACTTAGCCTTCATTGGACTTTGTCTAATTTTATTTTGG